GAGACCCGCCCCCTGCCCCGCCCCCTCACCATCACCACGGCAACCACAGCTCCCTGCGCAGCCGGCCCCAGCCCCTGCAGAGACGGAGGAGCGCGGGCTACTTCATCAGCCAGAGCGGATCCGACTGAGAAACACTTCCATCAAACCCACAGAAGACACAGAGATTGCACTTAAGCGCTTCCTTCCCCTCCTGTTTGTCCCTCTATCATCTGCTCTGTTTTTATACGTTGTATTTTTTTTTTTTTTACAGATTTTTATTGAGATTATTTAAAAACGATGTGCTTCTATTGGATGTGTGTGATATAAATGTTAATTTGAATATGATTCATGATTTTGTGTGTATTCTTGCTCTGTCAGGTCCAGTATGAAGCTGCTGGTTTGCTGGGCGATTTCTCTTTTTGTCACTGAACCTGTTTTTGACATAAATGATAAGAGATTTGAGGCTGTCACAGAATCTTCTGCCGTTAATGTTTTCTACTCTTGAATGCGTGGCTGCTTTTGTCCCGAACCACTAACAGGACACAGGACAGATGTCACAGCTAGCATCTCCACTCGTGCTTCATTTAACTCAAGGGACTGTTGTAGATAATGTGTTCGATCCCGAACGGTTTTGATTCGTGAATGAGTTGTGATATACCAGCCGCTGATATCTCTGTTCAGTTCTCTTGTGTTCAGAAGCCCTGGCCGGAGGTACATTTTCATCGCGGAGACTTTCACAGAAGTGGTTTTCTTCTCATTGAAGATATGTTTTCTTGTCGCCTCTGGTCTTCATGGCTTGATGATGATGATGATTTGTGTGTCTGAAACCGTCCCATGATGACCTGCTCTAGCATGCTTCTGTTATCTGTGATGGAGAGATCTTGTATGAAATGTGAACCTGCTTTTTTACTTTATTTAAATGAGCTTTCGTTAGGAAAACACTTCTCTCATTTTCTCTTCCTGTCTGTATGAGAATTTTGAACTACTGTCTTTATTTGTAGAGGAGAAAATAAATTTGATAAATATTGTGTAGTAAGTGATTGTGTCCAGTGAGTGAGTGAACGAAGCATTTCTTTTGGAGGAGCCATAGCTGAAATCATGAGAAAGCAAGAGAAGAGAGAGTTAAGCACGATTAAACCTGATCATTATTCACACCAGAATGCATGAAACAGACAAATGATTCATTTGAAAGGTTTTCTTTAAAAAAATCAAAAAGGTTAATGAAATGATTCACAGATGTTTTCTGATATATCAAACTTTGTCCACTTTACTGGTTTACACACGGAGCGTGTTATAATCTGAACTTTACACATTCTCACAGATAATCAAAAGTTCTGCACAGAAAGGTGTGAATCTCGTTTGTCTTCCTTTTCTTTCGCTCTTCAGCTGTTCTTCTTTTCCCCCATCCTATAACCAGAAATATAGTTCAGAATTGATGGAATATTTTACACATCTATATAACATTGTGCAGTCCAAGAAGAGTTTCTCTCTTTACTGTCTGACAGTTTTTCAATGTTGTTTCAGTGTGTTAAGGTTTTTTTCTTCTTGTAGTCTTCCCTCTCTACCAGGTTTGCATATGCAAATTACCTTTAAAAACAAGTAGACAAAACATGATTAGATTTCCTGCAGAAAGAGGGCGCTAGAGATCATATTAGGTAAATATTTATTTTTTAGACACTAGCCAGGTTTGAATAGTAGTCCACGAGTCCTGAAATGAGCATATTAGTTGTGTGTTGTGTTGTGTTTTGTGTGTGTGTGTGTGTGACTGACTGTGATGTGTGTGTGTGTGTGTTGTGTGTTTTGTTTGTGTGTACTGACTGTGATGTGTGTGTGTGTGTGACTGTGATGTGTGTGTTGTGTGTGTGTGTGTGACTGTGATGTGTGTGTTGTGTGTGTGTGTGTGACTGTGATGTGTGGAAACACCAAATATCACTTGGCCAGCTAACCTGTTTAAGAACCTTTAGAAACATAATATCTACTACTGTATAAATATACTTCATATGAAAATGAGTGATTGTGACGTATGAAGTTAAATTGTCACAATACTCCAAGAGTAGCGCTGCAGACGTCATTTTGTGTAATAACTTTGGCACAGTTTGCAGCTGGAAAACAGCACTTGTTAAATGAATTCATTTTAAACTGTTAATATATAATAAGAGAGAATATTCATCGAGCATGTGCTTTGCCCCCAAAACCATTTCCATTTACCTTTTTTATTACAGGCACAATTCCTCTGGAGCAACCAGGACTCTGCTTGCAGGATTCAAACCTGTGACCTTTAGTTACCAGCCCTTACTGTTCCACACCACATAAGTGATTCCAATGGCCAAGTCTAGAACACAAGACTTCTCAATGAGCTGACCTTCAGCAGAAACCACTGCAAACATTTGACACTTGGAATAAAGTGATAATCAGGCACATTCACTAACCTATTATTTCAGATGAAGCACAGCACAGCGCTTCTGCAGACTCTGAGCCGATCGCTTGTGACAGATTAAAAGCCTCATGACATCATTTCACGTGATGAGGGTCACGACTCGCGTATGGAAGATCTCATTACTCTACTGGCACTGCTTCTCCATTCAGCTGCAGCGTGGGGCTTCGTGCACAGGCAATATCATCCTGTCAGACTGGGTTTTTCAGTCCCTTTTATCATTTTTCTATCGTGCAAGACATATAGGTGTCTGATTCCATATAGAGAGGGAAGGACAACTCTTCTGTAGAGACATCCAGCAAGGAGTTGAGGACTTGGATCATGGTCTTCAGGATGGTGTGGCTGTTAATGTGTTGAGGTGTTTCATATGAGCAGAAGGAATCCAGCAATGTGTGAGAGCATGTATCTTTATAAAGAGCTTTAAAGTTGAGGCACCAATAAAATCAACCACCTAGAACAGCAAAGTCTTATTAAAACCACCGCTAACTGTGCACGAGTGTGTGTGTGTGTCTGTCTGTCTCTGTGTGTGTGTGTGTGTGTGTGTGTGTGTGTCTGTCTGTCTGTGTGTGCGCGTGTGTGTGTGTGTGTGTGTGTGTGCGTGTGTGTAATCAGTGGATATGGAGACTTGGGCTTGAGGTCAGACACCGGACACATCCATGAGCGACACGCTGTCTCTGCATCACACAACAAGATGTGTGTAATCACTGAACAGTCAGGTGCTTTTATTTCTGCAGGACAATTAGCACGAGTTACAGCAACTGATATCCATATCTCTATTCTTATCTATCACGCAACCAAACTTTTCAAAAGCTTCACAAAGTTCGGAAGCTCAACCGTACTTGCATGACACAAGCAGACCTCACTGGTCGAGCAGCTCGGTTGAGCTTCTGTTGACCGTATCAGATGAGCTTTATGTTTGTGTGTTCATCAGTGTTTATATGTGAATGAAAGACATTTTAAAATGTGCTCATTATTTAAAGCATCTGCACCTCTTCAGAAAACTTAGACTGAACTGCAAGATACATATGAATTACTTTCACAAAGTCTTTTTGAAGCTTGCAAACTTTGGTTGTGTGGACTTTCAGTGGATGGACAGAAATGATGAGAATATTACCTTCATTTGTGTTGAAGATGAATGGAAGTCGTATGGGTTTGGAGTGACATGAAGGTGAGTAAATGAGGACAGGATTTTCATTTTTGGGAGTCTGTGCGCTGCTGGTCGCAGTGTGTATGAAGTAATGAGTTTGTAACTCATTAGAGTTACAAATGACTTGCTCTTATCATCTGATTGTGGTTGTATCTCTCTATTAGTGCTATTGGATCTTAGTGCTGCGTTCGACACTATTGACCACAACATTCTTTTGAATAGACTAGAAAACTTTGTTGGCATTAATGGAAGTGCATTAGCATGGTTCAAATCGTACTTATCTGACCGCCATCAATTCGTAGCAGTGAATGAAGAGGTATCATATCGATCACAAGTGCAGTATGGAGTACCTCAAGGCTCAGTACTAGGGCCGTTACTTTTCACGCTTTACATGTTACCCTTGGGAGATATCATCAGGAAACATGGTGTTAGCTTTCACTGTTATGCTGATGATACTCAGCTCTATATTTCTTCGCGGCCCGGCAAAACATACCAATTGGAAGAAATAACAGAATGCATAGTCGATATAAAAAAAACTGGATGAAGCAATTTCTTAATGCTAAATTCTGAAAAAGCAGAGGTGTTAATTATAGGACCTAAAAACTCTGCATATAATAACCTAGAACACTCTCTAAGACTTGATGGCTGCTCTGTCAATTCGTCATCAGTTAGGAACCTAGGTGCAGTGTTAATTTGAGTGTTTACTATTGTCATTTTGCATTATTGACACACTATTTTCCTATTTAATACTGTAACGTTGCTTTGACACAATCTGTATTGTTAAAAGCGTTATATAAATAAAGGTGACTTGACTTGACTTGACAACGTATAAAGACGTACATACGTGAACTATCCCTTTAAAAATAATGGCCCCAAACATAGCGACATAAAAGCTTGTTAGATTTTTTATGCAAGGCTGCATACCTAGTAAAAGAAGTGCACTTTAGCATACTTTTAAAAATATTTCTTATTGCAGAAATAATATACTTTAAAATAATATGCATAAGTGCAAACTACATGTAGTGTTGTAGGGTGCTTAATTGCATGTTAATTGCAATTAAAATGTACTTTGAATTTATATTAAATGGAATTAGCTGAATTTAGAGGACTTTTTGACACACTTCAGTAGAACTTAAGAACATCTTTATACGTAATTTCCTAATTACTTCTATTATTACATAAACCATGCTGAAATATGGTTAAAGTGCACTGCCGAATACTGACAAACATTTCTACTGAGAACACACACACACTAAGATTTGAAGTACACTATGAAGTGCACTTGTTTTTCTCAGGGGTAGCTGTATTGAGCATGTGTTAAACTGGCACACGCGTGTAGGTGTGTTGAAAGTGCACTCATATGAGCGATTTACATGTGTGGAAGAGTATGTTTAATTTATGTAGCGTGTGCTGTGTGCACACGTGTGTGATTTACTGCAGTGAATGCATGCGTGGAGTATGTATGGGTCGGTGCATGTGTGTGTTTACAGCTGAAGGAAGCAATCACATGCAGCATGTCTAAGAGTGTGAAAGGCCTGCAGCTGATACTGTGTGTGTGTGTGTGTGTGTGCACGTTTTTGTGACAAATGAGGACATAAATTTGTATAATGACAAGGGTATGACATAGGTATTACAAGGAGAAGGTGACTTTTCAGGACATTACCCCATGTTCCCACTTTTCAAAACGCATATAAATCACAAAGAATGGAGTGTACTGAAAATCTGAAATAGCACAAAGTTTCCTGTAAGGGGTAGGTTTAGGGGTAGGGTTGGTGAAGGGCAATAGAATATACGGTCTGTACAGTAGAAAAACCATTACGCCTATGAGATGTCCCCACTTTTCACAAAAACAAACCTGTGTGTGTGTCATAAACAGAAGGAATTACGTGAGTAAGAAGTGCAGTGTGTGTGGAAGCAGTCGGAG